TTGGGGCAAAATAAAGTTAGAGAGAGAGATGTTTTTGTGAACTTTAAGGCATTGATCTGGACCCTATTGCACTAGAAGATTCTTGAAGATGGTCACAGAAATGCTCCTTTTATAGTATAGAGATTTAGAATATCAGTATACACAAGTAGCCAGTTTGTCATTTTTCTTTTAATTATCCTGGGGAGATCAACTGCCAAGTAGTGGTGGTACATGCCTTTAACTTCAGCACTTGGGAAGCAGAGACAGGTAGGTTTCTGTGAATTTGACTGAATGGCAGGCCTGGTTGGTATTCAATCCCAGGAATAGCTTGGTGTACCAGGCTTTTTCTTTAGAGCCACCAACCAGCTCCCAAATCATGACACAGAGACTTACGAATTTTGAATGTTGAACCTTATTTTAGCTCTTATTTTAATCTAAGTCTCTTTATCTACACTTTGCCTTGGGACTTTTTACATTTCTTTCTGTGTGTCTTACTCTGTGTCTGCTTGTGGTGGATGCCTGGCTGGCCCCAGGAGGCTCCCTCTCTTTCTCCCTCATTCTTTCTTCTCCTTCTCTGACTCTAAATTCCTCCTCCTATTTGTTCTCTCTGACTATCCCTGTCCTTCCTAGCTATTGGCTGTTCAGCTTTTTATCAGATGAATCAAGGTGCCTTAGGCACGCAAGGGGAAACAAATGTAACACATCTTTACAAAATTAAACAAATGAAGCAGAAACAAATGTAACACATCTTTGCCTAGTTAAAATAATATTCCATGACAGCCTGCCTCTAGAATTCACATTCTTAATCAACAATCTTTTCTACCAGCTCCAGACCTAATCAGCAGCAAGGATCAAAGGGTTTGGGAATGGTGACATTCTAGGCAGTTTAGCCTAACTAGAAACTTTTGATTCTTTGGCCTCTAGAGTGCAGGAATTGCAGCCATTCATTACCCTGGCTGCAAGCCTGGATGAATTTAATCTTTACTGTGACTTCACCTTTACCCAGGAGCTAGTGAGATCTGGTGTTGTGGAATACTGTTTTAATTATGTAAAGATATGTTACATTTGTTTTTGCTGGATAGTTGGGGCTGGTACGCAGAGAAAATAAATAGGAGGAGGAACCTAGGCACAAGAGAAGAGAGAGAGTGAATGAGGGGGATGCCCAGGGCCACAGTCACCATCCAGCTAGACAAGGAAAAGCAGGACATACAGAATGAAAGAAAGGTAAAAAGCCCTAAGGCAAAACAGAGATGAAGAGAAACAGGTTAAGTTATAAGAGCTAACAGGACAAGCGTAAGAAAAAGCCTGGCATTCATAACTAATAATAAGTCTCCATGGCATGATTTGGGAGCCCAAAGATTTTGGTGGCCCAAAAGAAAGCCTGCTACAACCTGGTAAAGGATATGGAGTGCCAGAAGATTTGGTTTACAAAGATACAGATACTTTGAGGAGGAAAGGGCTGATATAAAGATAATTATCATAAAATAAGAAATTCAGGGGCTAGAGTGATGGCTCAGTGGTTAAAAACACTAGCTGGTCTTCCAGAAGGCCTGAGTTCAATTTCCAGCAACCACATGATGGCTCACAACCATCTGTAATGAGGTCTGGTGCCCTCTTCTGGCTTGCAGGAATACATGCAGACAGAACACTGTATACATAATAAATAAATAAATCCTAAAAGAAAAAGAAAAGAAATTCAGCTGAGTATGGTTGTATATGCCTTTGATTCTAGCACTCAGGGAGGCAGAAGCAGGTGGATTTCTGTGAGTTCTAAACCAGCATGGTCCAGGCCAGCTAGGACTACACAGAGATATCGTGTCTTGAAAAACAAAAACAAAAAAGGAAATTTTTTGGGATCTGTGCATGGTGGTGCACATCTATAATCCCAGAACTCAGGAGGTTGAAGTAGGAGCATCAGTCTTGGTTACGCAGTGAGTTTCAAGTCATCTTATAGTATATAACAATACCCTGTATCCAAAAATAAATAAGTAAATAAATAAATAAATAAATAAAATGAAGAAACAATCAACCAAGAGCTGGCTGGGAAGATGGCTCAGAGGGTAAAGAGGTTACTGCACAAACACCAAGTCCTGAGTTTGAATCTTCAGAACCCACACAGTAGTGTGAATCCTAATCCCAATGTTGCAAAGGAAATGGAAGCACAGACAGGAGAATCCTCAGATGTTCACAGGCCACCTACCCTGTTTGCAGTGGTGAATGACAAAAAAGAAACCTTGCCACTAGGTGGTGGTGCACAGCTTTGATCCCAGCACCCAGGAGGCAGAGGCAGGAGAATCTTTGGGAGTTTGAGGAGAGAGTGAGTTCCAGGACAGCCAGGGCTGTTACACAAAGAAACATGTCTCAAAACAAATGCAACAACAACAAAGAAAAGAAACCTTGTCTCAAATAAGGTAGAAGGCGAAGACTGACACTGAAGACTTCCATACAATCATCATGGCATGGCATGTGCCTGCCTGCATTCACATCTCTCTCACACACACATACACATATCTGGTGTGGAATAATCTTTCTGTACACTGTGAAATTAAAGTCATATGTGGCTAACATAGTAAAGAATTTGTGGAAAACACAGCTTAATATTCTTCCAATCTCAGAAACAAATCATAGAATAAAGAGTACTTCTGAAAAAAATTATTAAAAGGTTTATCAAGAACAGTCACAGACTATTCAGGTTGTAAATAAGCAGTGCACAACAACTGTTGGTGTTTCAAAGACACCGACTGACTTACCTTTAAAATGGTTAATGACAAAATGTATGGGCGAACAATTGCCTTTGACATCAGAAAAATTACAGGCAGTAGCACAGCTGGTACAGGAGCAGCTAACAACTCAACCAGTTCTTGGAATTCTATATTTGTTATTAATAAAAAATCTGGAAAAATGGAGAATGGTAACAGATCTGAGAACTATAAACAAGGTGATTCAGTCAATGGGCTTTCTTATTTGTTTTATTTTTTTATTTTTATTTTTTTGTGTTTTTGTTTTTTGTTTTTTTTTTTTTTTTCAAGATAGGGTTTCTCTGTGGATTTTAGAGGCTGTCCTGGAAGTAGCTCTTGTAGACCAGGCTGGTCTCAAACTCACAGAGATCCACCTGCCTCTGCCCCTTGAGTGCTGGGATTAAAGGTGTGTACCACCTCCACCCAGCTCAGTCAATGGGCTTTTTACAGCCTGGAATTCCCTTACCTTATTTATTACATTAGAGTGTGTTGCAGAATATTGTTCATACTGTGAAGATGTGTCTGCCTAAAATTATCGCGGTTAAATAAGGACTCATTACATAAAATAGTTTCTGATTAGTTTAATAAAGAGCCAAATAGCCATTAGCTAGGCAGGAGCTAATAGGCAGGACTTCTGGGCAAAAAGAGAAACTGGGAGAAGGAATCTGGGTGTGTGATTTCACCTGCAGACTCAGAGCAAGTCAGATGTGCCATACCCAGAAGAGGTAACCAAGCCACATGGCAGAATGTAGATTAAAAATTATAGGTTAAGTTCTAAGAGCTAGTTGGAAACAGCCTATGCTAACACCAAGTTTCATAATTAATAATATGTCTCCGGGTCATTATTTATAGCCTGACAGTTTGACAAGAAAGCTTGCTATAATAGTGATTAATTTAAAAGACTGCCTTTTTTTTTTTTAAGATTTATTTTTTTATTATGTATACAGTATTTTGTCTGCATGTATGCCTGAAAGCCAGAAGAGGGCAACAGATCTCATTACAGATGAATGTGAGCCATCATGTGGTTGCTGGGACTTGAATTCAGAACCTCTAGAAGAACAGCTCAGCTCTGAACTGCTGAGCCATCTGTCCAGCCCCAAAAGACTGATTTTTAACTATACCTTTTCAAGAACAGGGTAGAGAAAAATTTGCCTTCACAGTGCCTACTCTCAATAGTTCCCAGTCTGTTAAAAAGGTACCACTGGAAAATTCTTCCACAGAGAATGTTAAACAGCCCCACCTTGTGTAAGTATTTGGTACAACAGCCATTAGAAATAATTTGTAAAACTGGCAGTGGTGGCACAAGCCTCTAACCTTTAATCCCAGCACTCGGGAGGTAGAGACAGGCAAATCTCTGTGAGTTCAAGGCCAGCCTGGTCTACAGAGCAATTTCCAAGACAGGCTCCAAATCGACAGAGAGAAACTCTGTCTTAAAAGAAAGGAAGAGGAAAGGAAGAAAGAAATTTGTAAGCAGTTTCCTCAATATAAAGTCTATCAGTATATGGGTAATATATTGGTTGATTCAGATGCAGATACCTTTGAAAGAATGTTTAATGAAGTAAGAGAATTTTGCCTTATTGGGGATTATTACACATTGCTCCTGAAAATACAAAGAGGAGATTCTATTATTTAGGATATAAGATAGGTTTCTAGATAATTCAACCACAGAAAGTATAAATCAGGAGATCAATTACAAACTCTTAATGATTTTCAAAAATTGCTGGGAGATATCAACTGGCTACAGCCCACAACTGTATTAACTACTATAGGTGAACTTCTTTGGGATGCTAGCTCATAAATGACATGGAAGATTTAGCTTAGGCTTTCCTCAAACAAGCTCTTATAACTTTTTTTTTTTTTTTTTTTTTTTTTTTTGCGACAGGGTTCCTCTGTATTGTTTTGGAGGCTGTCCTGGAATTCACTCTGTAGACCAGGCTGGCCTCAAACTCACAGAGATCCGCTTGCCTCTGCCTTCTGAGTACTGGGATTAAAGGCGTGTACCACCAATGCCGGGCTTTTATAACTTAAATTAACTTGTTTTTATTAATCTATGTTCTCCCATGTGGTTCGGTTACCTCTCCTCTGCATGGTATGTCCAACTTCCTCAGTGTCTTCCTTCCCCAGTCTCTTGTATGCCTAGATTCATCTGGGGTTACTCTCTTCTCTGCTTGGAAGTCCTGCCTATTCTCACCTACATAGCTATTGGCCATCCAGCTCTTTATTAAAACTATTCAGAAGATACCTTTCACCCAGTGTGATCAAATATCCCACAACAAGACTAGCCCAAGTGGAGCGGGAGAGTTGAGCGGTTGTCTGTTCCCGTCTGGGAAACCAGTAGCCCTTGCAGCATGGCTGACCAACTGACTGAAGAGCAGATTGCAGAATTCAAAGAAGCCTTTTCACTATTCGACAAGGATGGTGATGGGACTATAACAACAAAGGAACTGGGAACTGTGATGAGGTCTCTTGAGCAGAACCCCACAGAAGCAGAGCTGCAGGACATGAGTAATGAAGTTGATGCAGATGGTAATGGCACAATTGACTTCCCTGAATTTCTGACAATGATGGCAAGAAAAATGAAAGACACAGACAGTGAAGAGGAGATCAGAGAAGCATTCCGTGTGTTTGATAAGGATGGCAATGGCTACATTAGTGCAGCAGAGCTTCGCCATGTGATGACAAACCTCTGAGAGAAGCTGACAGATGAAGAGGTCGATGAGATGATCAGGGAGGCAGACATCGATGGTGATGGTCAGGTAAACTATGAAGAGTTTGTACAAATGATGACAGCAAAGTGAAGACATTGTACAGAATGTGTTATTGTTTATTTGCCTTTTCTTTGTTTGTAACTTATCTGTAAAAGGTTTCCCCCACTGTCAAAAAAAAAAAAAAAAAAAATGCATGTATAGTAATTAGGACTTGATTCCTCCATGTTTTCTTCCCTTCTCTTCTGTCATTGTCCTTAAACCTTATTTTAGAAAATTGATGAAGTAACATGTTGCATGTGGCTTACTCTGGATATATCCAAGCCCTTCTGCACATCTAAACTTAGATGGAGTTGGTCAAATGCGGGAACATCTGGGTTATGCCTTTTTTAAAAGTAGTTTTAGGAACCGTCAGCATGTTGTTGTTGAAGTGTGGAGTTGTAACTCTGCGTGGACTGTGGACAGTCAACAATATGTACTTAAAAATTGCACTATTGCAAAACGGGTGTTTTATCCAGGTACTCGTACACTATTTTTTTTTGTACTGCTGGTATTGTACCAGAAACATTTTCTTTTATTGTTACTTGCTTTTTAAACTTTGTTTAGCCACTTAAAGAAAATCAGCTTATGGCACATTTTGCCTCAAATCCATTCCAAGTTGTATATTTGTTTTCCAATAAAAAAAAATTACAATTTAAAAAAAAATCCCACAACAAACTACTCAAGAGCTAAGCAAGTTATTTCAAACCTTACAAGGTGATAATGTGACGTGTTTACCTACATTGTTCTATTATCAATAAAAACCTAGGAATCAAATATCAAGGTGAAATCTGATAGATCAAAGAAGTGGTGGAGGAGTGTCCAGTTGACCTCTCCACACTTCCCAGATCAAAGAGACTGAACAAAATCCAAGTCCTCCCTCCTCCTTCCTATGCATCTTCTCTATCCATAATCCAGGCTTCTCTATGGCTAAGTCTGTTCAGCTAGATACCATGTCTACACTCCCCATTCAAAGCTAACTTTATTAACACAGTCTCAGAGTGTCACAGAATGACCAAATATCTCACAACAATAATGAAATTATTATGTGAAGCTGAGAAAGAACTGGCTCTGATAGAAAAAAGCATGCACATGTGGATCAACTGAATTCAGAGCTTGATTGTATTGTTATTTTACCTTCTACACACTCACCCACAGGGAATCTTATGCAGAGAAGATATTTTAGGATGGATATTTTTGTGATACAATATTACAAAGGTAACCACCGTGAGAGAAACTGCCCTTGCCTCAAATGTTGACAGGATGCTGTCCAAATTGGAGAGTCAGGACACAAAAGAAAGTGATTGCCAAACTTTGCTAAGACAAGGTACGACAGTCCTTTAAAATTCCTGCTTTACAGAAGCCTGTCAGATATTCCAAGCTTGTAGGCCCAGGATGGATGCCTCAACATTGCAGAGGAACCTTGGGTGACTGTCCACACAGCCAGCTGTCTATGTCATTTATATAGTTTTGCTCTGCACTTCCTGTTCACTCAGGTAATATTGTATCCCTCTTGGGTCTCTGATGGGGTTGAAGATTATAGTGTTACAGTTTTCCTTGTTACCAAATTCAGAAAAGAAACTTACAAAAAAGATGAAAAGTTTATAAGGTCTAAAATAATATTTTTAGGTTGGTAATACAAATTATAATTTTAAAAAGTTGTTTAAGTATAAAACTTTGGATCCACCAAGATAGGACAGACAATACAGAATCTTCTTCAAAGTAGCCAAATACAAATGGAGTGCATTGTGAATGTAATTCTTACCTGACAACTTCTTTTTTTGTTGTTTTGGTTTTTCAGGATAGGGTTTCTCTGTAGTTTTGGAGTCTGTCCTGGAACTCACTCTGTAGACCAGGCTGGTCTCGATTTTACAGAGATCCTCCTGCCTCTGCCCCTCGAGGGCTGGGATTAAAGGCTTGTGACAGCACTACCTAGCCTGGCAACTGTTCTTATTGTACCTAGTTTTACTGTGTTAGAGTTAAATCCATTCCTTTTTATTTAGACAAAATAGGGGAAATGCTGTGGGATATTTGATCATACTGCAAACCCCAAGTTTACTTTTGCGTTAATTAAATAAAACCAACCTTGGGTCAGGAAGCAGAGTCAGCAAGTAGTTGACAGAAAGTAATCAGTCAGAAGGAGTCTGGAAGATGAGTAGAGATGCATCAGAAGTAGTAGGGAGGGACTTTGAGTTTGGCATTTGTTTTTGGCTTGTGGAAGGAGGCTCTCTTTCTGAGACACTGATGAAAAGTCAGCTAGTTGCTCAACCTCTCTGAGGTGACTGTCCAGGTGGCTTGCTGTTTCTGTCCTTGCTGCACCTTTTGGAAGTTGCCCATCCACACTTCCTGTCTACCCTAGTATCGTTATTTTCCTTCTCAGGTCTTAATGAGGTTGAAGATTAAACTATCACAACTATTATTCTCTCTTCCTAGTTAGATATATTAGGTACTAGACTTACGTTTTCCAGCTTAGGACAATTCTATTGTAAACTCCGTTATGCCTTCACCCTAGGACTAGATATGTAGGTCATTTTGTTCTCGATTTTCCTTTTCTTAGAAGCACACTTGTTGTTTACTGTTTTGTATATAGTTTTGTATTAAGCCTAAATCTTTTCTTTAGACTAAAAGGGGAATTGTAGTGAGATAGTTACTTTGTCTCCTTCTGTGGCACTGACCACGCCCATTGGGGGTGGAGCCATGGGCGGAAGTGACCTGTGGAAGGAGGTCTGAGGAAGAACCAGACGCTCTCTTGCTGGCAGAGACTTGGACAGGAGAGCATTCGGTGGAACTTGCTGGTGTTCATCTGTCTAGGTTGTAAGTTATTTCTCCCTGAATAAACATCTATTCGGCTTATTTGTTTATCCTGATCCTTAAGCTTATTTGTTTATCCTGATCCTTATTTAACCCCAATACCCCATATATCTATGCAACAGCTTTCTCCAAATTTACCTAGTGACCTTTCTTCTCCCACAATCTAAATGACATAGTTTAATCAACATCTTACTTGATCTGTTATGTTTAATGCTATAAACAGGTTTACTTGGTACTTTCCTCTTGTCTTCCTTTCTTCCTCTTTGCTCCTTCTTACTGTCCTCATTTAAGCTCCCTTACCTCATCTCATCCCTCACACGCATGACTCTTCCTCTTTGGGCCATTATCCTCTTTTAAGGCTCCAAGAAGTAGCCATATATATATAGAAGAACACTTTAAACTTTTTTAGTTTCCAACCCACATTATTTAATATTTACTTGTCTAAAAGGATCTCCCTTAGAATTAAAAATAATGTAACCCAGTTCTTCAAGTTAGAACATTGATATATCCTTATCTAATGCATGTCTTCCTATCTACCCAATACCACTGTCTCTTCCTTATCTTCATAATTGTTTTCTCTTTTACTTTTCCAAACTATTCTTTATATGGCAGCCGGCGATCTCTATCTAGACCCACTTCCTGGGTACTGAACCAGGCTTACCTGTGCTAATAAAGCATTCTACCACTGAGCTAACATCCTAGTAGTCTTCCTCGCTTAAATTAAGTCCCAACTGGTCGATATCTCCAGAGCTCAACCTTCCTCCTTCAGGCTCCAGGCCGGCACTGACATGCCCAGGCTGGCAAGCAGTGATCTTTCTACAATACAAATATAATTGCTCATACCTCTGATTAGACCCTTCAAAGCCTCTTCATTGCCCTTAGGATAAAATAAATTTACAATGTTTTGCGTCATCAGGTCCCTCCCTATCTCACAGACTTTATGTATTACCTTTACTTTAGCCACATTAGGCTGTTGGCAGCTCCAGAACATACGTGAGCCCCCTCCCATTCAATTCCCAACAATCCTGCAGCTTGAGACACTTTCGACAGGAAGTGAGAGCTCCAAAGGAAAATATTGAAGGGATGAATTCCGAGAAAGTCTCTGAGAAGCGCGGCAAGGTCTGGGTTTCAGAACGTCCGGGTGACAGGAAGTTCAAAGCAAAGGTTAAATCCAGATCTTGAACTTTCACCCAAGTTCACCAGGCAGTCCAACTTCTATACTATTCCGCCCTTACGTGTCATGGCTGCCAGTCCCACTCTCCCAATGGGCCTTGAAGTCCGATACCAGCCAGCTCTGGCGCCACCGAGTCTTCCACATACACGTACGTTACTCTCTCCACTTTTTAGAACCGCCCCGAAACCGCCGTTAAGAAAACCCTGCGTTGCCAGCTTGCCCCAAAGCAAGATGGCCGCCAGTCTCCATTCTCTCTTCCCAACGTGAAGCTATCCATTCCCTGCTTAATGCCGCTGCCAGGCTGCCCTCACCTAGTATGGCTCCTCCGCTCATGCCTCGTTATGGTCTCGAAGCCGACACTAACCGGCCAGGTTCCGGGAGGCGCTGTTCAGGATGCAGCCACCCCCGCCCGTCTCTCCCCTCCCCCACGCCCGCGGCGGCGGCGGCGGCGGAGGCGGTGGCGGCTGGAGCCCGGATGCGGCGCCGTGAGACAGGCCCGGGAGGGAGAGCAGCGCGGATGGATCCAACATGGCGGCGCCGATCCTGAGCCGAGAGTGAGGCGGCGGGGCGGCCGGAGTGGGGAGGGGGAGTCGAGTGGGACGGGGCGGGGCCGGGCGGGGCCGCGAAGGGCTTGGGGAAGGAAAGTGAAGGGGGAGGTGGTGGCGACGTCCAGCCCGAGAACCTCCAGAGAGGGAGGTGACGGGACGCTACGAGGTGGGGGAGGGGAACAGCCGAGGGGGGCGTGCAGGGGAGATGGCAACTGTGGGAGAGGGCAGGGGTCGAGGCGCTGGAGTGCGAGCATGGGGAGGGGCGTAAACAAGGGCCCGGGCTGGACCAGGCCAGGGGTATTAAAGAGGCCGAGGTGGGGAGTGGGGCTGCGATCCAGCGCTTTGAGAGGGGTAGGAGCAGGAGGGAGAGGCTGAGGGTGTGAAGGGGAAGGGGGCTTGTGGCATGCGGTTGCAGGAAGGGCTGGACTCCCGGGAGCGCTGTTGTGAGGACGTGGGAGAGGGGGAGAATTGGACTTAAGACATTTTGTGAAGGGAGGTTTTCAAAGTGTTAAAATTGGAAGTGGAAGCGGAAGGGCCTTAGGGAGAATTTGGGTGGAAAAGGAGAGAAGGGGGGTTTGGGAATGGGGAGAGTGTAGATGTGACGAGGTGAGGTAGAAAGTGAGAGACCCGGAGGAAAGTTTGGAAGGAAAGGGAGAAAGGCAGAGGAACTGCACGGATGATAGGGCTTGGGGGGTTTCCCTTTCCCTTGTGGAAAGACAGCAGAGTTAAGCAGTATCAGTTGCAGCCAATTTTAATTGCCGGGCGCTTAGCTTTTAATAGGGTGGGAAGGGCAGAAAGGAATGGTCATGTGGGTTTGAAGAATTGGGGTTGAATGAGGGTTCAACCGGAATTGCTTTCCAAAACACTCGCTTGCTTACTGCTTCCTTGTTTTTCCTGGTTACAAATAGGGAGATGAGTACAGTACTTTTCTAGGTTTTTTGCAATTAGCCATACAAGATGGGGAGAGAGACATGACTGGAGCCTATCTTACCAAGGTGGAGGCTCTGGAAGCCTGAGGAGGATATAAAGAGACAGGCAGGCATCTAGGTAATCAGGCTAATTAAATATGCTTTCTTTTACAGACCCTTCTTTTGCTCTTCACGTTCTAGGAGGGAAGGAGGGGTCAATATGCATATTTAAAAGCCTGTTTCTTCCTGAAGTGTAGGCAAGAGTGGATGCTGCCATAGTGGTTATTTTGTTCTCATTGTGTGCTAAAGGAAAAGGTGAAGTTGGAAATGAATTCTGGTCTGATGAGGGAAGTGATGTGAAGGAAGCGCTCTCTTGGGCTGTAACTTTTTACCTCCCAAGTTCCCCCCAGCACTTATGGTGTGAGAAAATAGATGGGGTCAGGAATTGGGGAGAAAAATGAGACAGTATCAAGGTAATGGTTTTTCCCAGAGGTTGTTGAGTTGGGACTTTTGCTATGAGCCATTGACACTGAAAGTTCTTGGGTTTGATACTATATTGTGATTTGACAATCAAAGAGGGGACCTTGGGGCCTTTGTTATGTTTGAGTTCTTTAGCTTGGAGTAGTTCAGTGAAGTGACTTTAAGCTCCGATGACCCATGATTTTTTTTTTTTTTTGGCCACGGACATTGACTAACTGGACCTTGGAAGTTTCAAAATAAAGCTTGAAATTTTACTCTTTCCCCCCCCCTTATTTGTTTTTGTTTTTGTTTTTCTGCTGGCTTTGAAACTTGTGCTAGGAAGAGACCTGGGAAATTAAATTTCTTGAAAAGGTAAGTCTGGAACTTTTTATTGTTTTCAAACATTGGAAGGGAATGGAAATGGTATGAAAAGCATTGGGGTTGAACCTAATTAATGAGGTAGATGCTAGGGAAAATGAGTTGCACTCACTCTTCTGAGTTCATTAAGATTTGTTGCAGTCACTCAGGTAACTGTAGATAGGAGGAGGGACAAATGGATAATAAGTGTCTTGTGACAAGGTCCCAGCTTTGGTTTGCTATTGTCTAGCCTTCTGGTCATCTCTGAGTGAAACATGTTTAACATATGGAAAGCTGTGCTCTTGTACATTATCTACAAAGTATTTCTCTTGTAGGGTGGCTGAGGTAACTTCAGTGGGAAAGATTGTCTTCTAGTTTACTGTCTCTCCCAGCTGTTCAGAGTTCTTGGGATTTTTTTTTTTTGAAAACATACTGTGTAATTCTGCCTTCCAGATATAGTTGATTGTTTTCCTAGTCCCACCAGCAGGAAAGCACTTCAAGAACTTACTCTTAACTATCTTGAAGATTTTTCATGTAGTGTTGTAGTTCAAGGTTCAAGCCAATTTTTCTCCCCCTAGACAGGGTTTCTTTGTGTAACAGCTCTGACTGTCCTCTATTTGTAGATCAGGCTAGCTTCAAGCTCACAGAGATCCACCTGCCTCTGCCTCCTGAGTGCTGGGATTAAAGACATGTACCACCACCGGCTGGCAAGCCATTCTTTTTTTCTAGACAGGTTCTCAGTAGGTAGTCCTGGCTATGTAGACCAGACTGGCTTCAGTCTCACAGAGATCTATGTACCTCTGTCTCCCAAATGTGGGGGGTCAAAAGGGTGTGCCACCACACCTGGCTATTGTCAGTCTTTTTTTTTTTTTTTTTTTAAGTTTTCCACATGATTTTCTTCTAAGGGCTTCTTAGAGTCAAATATTTCTTTCTCTCTTATGAAGACATAGGTATTATTCCTGTTAAGAAGAAGCTACCATTTTCATTCCAAGATATTTCTTCTACAAATTCTTTGCTGCCGATAAATCAAAGTACTTTAAAAAGTTACAGTTATTTCTGGATGGGAGAGTCTAGACTGCTTGTGCATGGAAACCCAATAGAGAATAATCTATCAGGAAGAAACTGTCTAGGTACTATAGACTCTTATTGGCTCTTGGTAATTTCAGACCTCCCTAAAGGAAAACAAACTAGAACTCTAGGAAATTCAGTGGTTCATTTGAATTATTCTGTGCTAGGGATGTAGCTCAGTGGTAGAGCACTTACCTACTTAGGCCCCTAGGTTTGATTCCGAGTACAAAAAAAATGTGTATGTTGGTGTCTGAAATATAGTAAGATCATTCAATGGATCAGTACACTTGTTTATAGCTATGGTTTGTTTGTTTGTTTTTATATAGAATCTAACTATGTAGACCAGGTGGCTTTGAACTTCGAGATCCAACTGCCTCTGCCTCCCAGGTGCTGGGATTAAAGGTGTGCCACCGTGCTTGGCTGCCTGTTGCTTTCTGTCTCTTGGTAGTTAGCCATATCTTAGATACCAATATAAAAGTTCTTTCTAATCTTCTGTTTGGAGGAGTGTGTGTTCTTGTCACTGTGGTGGCTTCCATCTAGGAGCTCTGTGTCTAGGCTGATCTCCCTTGCCACTGAAAGCTGAGTGTAATTTGGATTAAGAGGAAGTTGGTGACATTCTTTTCATCCTTAAGTTTGATTCTTGGACACCCTGGCTGGGAATCTGAGTTAATTTACAATTCTAGATGATAAGTGAGGAAAGCAGCCTACCGCCTGCATGTCATCCTCTTGATATCATTGTGGAAGACATGACTTAGGAAATGCTTACATCTGTATTTTGCTTCCTTAAATAGTATAAGTCTGATTAGTGACTTAACAAGGAAGGGTCTGCTATTTAGTCTTGTTTCGGACTTTATAAATGGCACTGAGGCTAAAGATTAGCATCATATGTGTTAGTCTTGAAGAGGGTGCCGTTTTCTTATTCCCACACAATTCCAGATTGAACTAGGTCAAAGTATACCACCTCCTGGGATGGACCAGAAGGGAGTATGCCTCTACCACCTGCTATTCACCTGAATGGCAACAGCAGGTGGCAGAGAAGGCATGGCTGGAGTGAGATGAAACTCCTTTGTGCTAGTCAGATTTATGAGTTAAATGAGCTATGTCTGTCTGGCCTTCTTTTTCTTCTAGAATATGATTGGATTGTTTGGGATTGAAGAGACCTAATTGCTCCCTTCTCTAGATCTAATAAGGAAAATGACATGCATCCTTTTGACAATTCATAATGTTTCATTTATAGAATTTTTCAACCTTAATACTATAGACATTTTGGTTCAGATAAATTTTTGTTGTTAGTGATTGTCACATGCTTTGTAGGATGTGTTACAGTACCTCGGCTTTATTGTATGCTGTTAGTGAACTCTTCACCCGGCTTGACAATTGCAACTGTCCCAGTCATTGTCAAATGTTCCCTGAGGGGGCAAATTGCTCCTGGTTAAGAACCACTGACCTAGACATGATGAGAATTCCTAATCCCTAGTACCTGAGATGATCAAGGACTTAAAGGTGATTCTTTTCCCCTCCTCTCAAGTGAAGGGAGTTAATCTCAGAGGATTGAGCCCTGTTGTAGTATTACAATGATTGTATAATTAGGGCTACAGTGTTTTGCTTTGTTTTGCCTCATTTTCCAGGGACAGAGTATGTGGGGGTGGCTTTTCTTAATTGCTTGGGGTTTCAGGATACTCTGAATTAGGGACCCAAGGAACAACCTGCTCTTCCGATTGGTTGGACTTGAAACCTGCCCATCTGTTTCCTCTGGGATCCTTATAGTCAGCAGCTGGCCAAGGGAACAGGTGGGATAGGGACCATGGAAAAGTCGTAGGGGCTCTGAGGAAGCTCGGTTTTCTCCCACTGCCTACTTGAGTAGGGCTCTATTTTTCCTCAGCAGCCCCATTTGTGCCCAGTGACAGCAGGTGAAGCAAGTGGGAGAGACAAGGAAAGCAGTCTGTAGCTGAATGCTTTTCTCAGCTTCCTCCCATACTTCTGGTGGAGGGGATACCTGGGCGCCCAAAACTACATGTGGTTTATATTTTCTTTACTTAGATTTCTCTTTTTTCTTTCTAAAATTTGTTTATTTTTTGGTTTTTGAGATGGGATTTCTTGTTGTAGCCCTGACTGTCCTGGAAGTTGCATTGTAGACTAGGCTGTTCTGCCTACCTCTGGAGTGCTGGAATTTTTTTTTTTTTTTTTTTTTTTTTTTTAAGGGAAGGAGTCTTCTTGCATTTTCCTTGTTGGCTCACTGAGGGAGAAAGGACAGCTAAGCCGTCACCATGGTTCTTCTGAAGTAGCTTATCATTCTTTTTGGTGCTAGAAATGGGATCCAAGGCCTCGTGAGGGCTGAGCATCACTCTACCACTGATTTATAGCCACAGCTTCTCTCTCTTGTAGCTTAGCCAGGATCTTCCTGTGGAAAATGGTCAGGACACCATCTTGTTGAGTAGGGTTGTTTGGTGCGGGTAGGTTATTATGGTATGGAGACAGCTCTAGCTAGCTAGAATATATGCTTGGTTACTGACTGTTGGATGTGCTGGTGTGCACCCCCTCACCCCATTGCGAGACAGTTTTCACTGTGTAACTCAGACTGGCCTTGACTTTGTTATCTGTCTCCGTCTCCCTAATTTTGGGATTATAGGCAAGTACATGCACTGCCATGCCTAGTTTACATGTGTCTTTTTGGTGGAGTCCTCTCTCACTCTTGGACTTTGTAAGTTTGTTTTTTAACTGCTATTGCTTGTATTGTTGACCTCTTAGAAATTAAGTTCAGTTTTCTTCTCCTTCCCCCCCAACAGGGTTTCTCTGTGTAGCTTTGGAGTTTGTCCTGGAACTTGCTCTGTAGATCAGGCTGGCCTCGAACTCACAGAAATCCACCTGTCTCTGCCTCCCGTGTGCTGGGATTAAAGGTGTGCGCCACCAATGCCTGGCTAAGTCCAGTTTTCGACAACAGGCTGCTCCTACAGATTTCTACTACTAGATATTAGGATATAAAGATGAGTGATGGAGCCTTTAGTCCCAGCACTTAGGAGGTAGAGGCAGGCAGATCTCTGTGAGTTCAAGGCCAGCCTTGTTTACAGAGCTAGTTCCAGGACATCCAGGGCTGTTACACAGAGAAACCCTGTCTCAAAAACAAAACAAAACAAATCAAAAAACGTAAGTATTGATGCTGGTAGTACATGCCTGTAATCCTAGCATTCAGAGGCTCAGGTAGGATCATTGAAACTTCATTGCCTTTCTAGGTTACATAGCAAGTTCAAGGCTAGTCTGGGCTACACCTTGAGTCAAAAAAAAAAAAATTGGAGAGCAGAGACTTCTTGAATAGAGTCAGTTGCAGGGGCTGGTGAAATGGCTCAGCAGGTTAAAGAATGTGTTACCAAGCCTGACAGCCTGACAGCCTGACTTCCATCTCAGGAACCTACTTGGTGGAAAGGGAACTGGCCCCTGGAAAGTGCACTGTGGGCCACACACACACACACACACACACACACACACACACACACACACACACACACACAAATAAATGTAATATAAATTTTAAAAACATAGAGCCAGTTGCAGTAGTACAGTTGAGATGATGACTGGAATCTGAACCATGGCTATGGCAGCAGCAATGAAAGGAAAGCACATTTAAGAAATGTTTTGCATTGTACAGTAGGAGCTAAGAACTGACTGCTTGACTGCAGGTCGTGGTCAGCCCAGAACATACTCAACAGTACTGTCTTGAAAGATAGTAAGTATAAATAACTATAAAGTGCAGGTGAACTATTAAGACTAGACAATTGGTTGGTGATATTATCCAGGTGAGTTTGTGAGTCAAACACAGGGCTGTGATTGGTCCCTGGCAGGGGGTTGTTACATGCCATCTGTGAGGAAGGGTTAGTTTGTTTGTTTTATTATTATTATTCTGTTTTTGAGATCTAGTGGCCCAGAGTGGACTCAAACTCCCAATCTTCCTGTTACAGAAGGCCTCTCAGAGTGCTGGGATTATGGCTTGTGCCACTAAACACACTTTTGCCATGAGACTTTGAAGTTAAGGGACATGCTTAAAGTCACACAGCTAGAGTTTGTAGTGACACAGAATTTAAACTAGTTCTAGCTAGTGACTTACAACTGTTTATTTGATGCAGTTTCTATATCAAAGATTGAATTATCTACTTTTTGGTTTTGCCTATATTTAAGAAATGGGTCTGAATGATGGTGGTGCACACAGGTGGATCTCTGGGAGTTCGAGGCTGGCCTGATCTACAGATCAAGTTCCAGGACAGCCAGGACTGTTAAACAGAGAAACTCTGTCTTAAAAAAGAAAGGAAGGAAGGGAGCCAAGCATGCCTTTAATCCCAGCACTCTGGGAGGCAGAGGCAGGCAGATCTCTAAGTTCGAGGCCAGCCTGGTCTACAAGAGCTAGTTCTAGGACACCTCCAAAACCACAGAGAAACCCTGTCTTGAAAAAAAAAAAAAAAAAAAAAAAAAGAAAGAAAGAAAGAAAGAAAGAAAGAAAGAAAATATTTAAAATATTTGGTTGGTTGGTTGGTTGGTTTGGGACAGGGTCTCACTGTATAGTTCTGGCTGGCCTGGAATTCATAGAGATCCTCCTGCCTCTGCCTGCCAAGTTCTAGGATTAAAGATGTACACCACCACTCAAAAAAAAAAAAAAAAAAAAAAAAGATTAATTTTTCATTTTTATTTAATTATTTGTGTATGACTGCAGGCATCTCTGATCCCCTTACAGCTGGAGTTACAAGTGGATGTAAGCCTATCCATGTGGATGCTGGGGATTGAATTCAGGTCTTCTGAAGATTAGCTAGTGCTCTTAACCATTAACAACCCTCCCCGTCTCTTTTTGAGACATGGTTGTGCTGTTTAGCCCTGGCTGGCCTAGAACTCTGTCTGTTCTCAAATTCACAGAGCTCTTCCTGAGTTATGGGATCAAAGGGGCATGCTGCCACACCCAGATGTTACTCTCTTATTGTATTTTTTGTTGTTTTTATAAGATAGGGTTTTTCAGTAAATACACCAGGTTGGCCTGGAATGAGATCTTAGTGTCTCAGCCTCCTTACTGCTGGTTACAGGCATATGTCTCCATGCCCAGCAAATCAGGGTTTCAAGGGACCAAAAGCAGAATTGGGGGGCAAGAGGAACAATCTGAATAGCCTGAAATAAAAACAAAATTTGTGATAGTTTCTTATAGTCCAAGATGGCTTTGATCTTGCTCTGTGGCTGAGGGTGGCCTTGAACTTTCTCTTGCCGCCTCCACCTCTCAAGTGCTAGGATGTTAGGCATGCTTTACCACACTGGCTTGTTTTGTCTGAGATATGGTCTACCTATATATCCTTGGCTGACTGCAACTTGCTGGCAGACCAGAATGGCTTCAAACTTAGGGCAGTCCTGTCTTTGGCTCCTGAGTAGCTACAATAGGAACTTCTGAACTGTGCCACACTAAAATTGCACAAAACATTCTCACTCTAGGAAGTGGTAGCATCCCTCTGGTGGGATCTGGATGTAGGGTGTCATCTGCTGGGTATGACAAGCTTTAGGATTGTTTTTGTTTGTTTTGCCTTTTTTGAGGGTAGGTCTCTATAGCTTTGACTGTTTGATTGTCCTGAATTCTGTGATCTGCTTGTGTCTGCCTCCTGCGTGTTGGTTGAGATGAAAGGCATGCACCACCATATCCAGCATGGGTTTATTTTTTTTAGTAAACACATTGTGATATTTGATGAACTTTAAGCGGTGTACTGTTAGTAGCATGTTAAGACAATACAGATAAATATAAAATTAGTTGCTACCAGTGTGTGGCTCGCTCATGGGTTCTTGTCCTGTCTTACAGGACATTGGAGATTGCAGCCGCCGAGCAGAGATTCTGGAAAGCACTCTGTCCCTGAGCCTCTAGCATGGCGGGCCTGAAGCGGAGGGCAAGCCAGGTGTGGCCGGAAGAGCACGGTGAGCAGGAACATGGGCTGTACAGCCTCCACCGTATGTTTGACATCGTGGGCACCCACCTAACGCACAGAGATGTTCGCGTGCTTTCTTTCCTCTTTGTTGATGTTATTGATGACCATGAGCGTGGACTCATCCGAAATGGACGTGACTTCTTATTGGCACTAGAGCGCCAGGGCCGCTGTGACGAGAGTAACTTTCGCCAGGTGCTGCAGCTGCTGCGCATCATCACTCGCCATGACTTGCTGCCCTACGTTACTCTCAAGAAGAGACGGGCTGGTGAGGGCTTATGGGGTCTGGGAGCTCTTGAATATGAGACGACTTGTGGGAAGACAGGAGCGAGTAGCACAGGAGTCTAAAAGGGAGGTGGTCTTGACCTAGGGAGTACCTAGGGAAGAAGCAATGAGACCTTTTGGGAGAAGGCAGGTGTGTATTTTTTCCTGAGTGCCTCCTTCTCCTCCTGCAGTGTGCCCTGATCTTGTAGACAAGTATCTGGAGGAAACATCAATTCGCTATGTGACCCCCAGAGCCCTCAGTGATCCAGAACCGAGGCCTCCTCAGCCCTCTAAAACAGGTGAGAAGGTATTACTTGTAATTTTCATAAGCAAGACAATATTGATCCCATCACATGCCTGCCTGGGCCAGCATCAATGATAGCATGCAGTCCCTCTTCATCTACCCCATTAAAAAAATCAGAGGCTGGGGAGATGGCTCAGTCTGTAACATGCTTGTTGCATCAACATGAAGACCTGAGTTCAGAGTCCCAGCACTTACATAGAAAAAGCTGGGCAATCCAGAAGAGAGAGGGGGTGGGGGAGGCAGATCTCTGGAACTCACTAACCAGACAACTTTAGCACATAGGTTTAGTGCAAGGCCCTGTCTAAAACATAATGGGGAGAGAATTGAGGAAGATGGCCAATGTTGACTTTGGCCTTTGAATGCAGTCACACCTATGTGAATACACCTGTGAACATGTACACACACAAATCAGATGAGATATGCTTTGTCTAGGTCTAGTGTTTGCTCTCATGTCAGATCCTCCTTTTAGGTCACTTTTTAAAAAATCAGTTTATGTGTATGACTGTTTTGTCGGTATGCATGTTGAGCCATCCAGCTTCTAGGACTTTTTTTTTTTTTAATGTATATGAGTGTTTGCCTGAATATTTGTATGTGCACCACGTGTATGCCTGGTCCTGTAGAGGTCAAAAGAGGATGTCAGATCCCTCAAACTGTAGTTAAGATGATTATAAGCCAGCATCTAGGTGCTGGAAACAGAACCTGGGTCCTCTCCAAGAGTACAAGAGCTCTTAACCACTGAACCTTCTCTCCCAGCTTTTTTTTTCCCCCAGACAGCCTCTCTGTAACAGTCCTGGAACTCAATTTGTAGACCAGGCTGGTCTCAAACTCAAGAGATCTGCTTGCCTCTATCTCCCAAGTGCTGGGATTAAAAGCATGTGTCACCACTGCCTAGCCTTCTCCCAACATTTTTTTTTTTTTTTTTTTTAAGCCCAGGAAAGTTGTAGAATTGTGTGTAGCCCCAGGCTGGCCTTGGACTTCATCTTCCTTCCTTCACTTTTTCTTGTTTTGTGAAACAGGGTTCTGGAACTCTGTATACCAGACTGGCCTCAAACTCAGAGATCTGCCTGTCTGTGGCTCCTGAGTGCTGGGATCAAAAGTGTATACCACCATTGCCCAGCTTCCTTCTTTCACTCTTAAGTATAAGCACTGGGATGACAGATTTCTGCCACCATATTTAGTACCCCTCCGCCATGTTAGGGCTGAGCCCAGATCTTCACTTAATGCTAGGCAGATGTTTGATCACTGAGCTATACCCCTCGGCCTTCGGATTACATCATCAATACTGCTCTCATTATTAGGGTAAATGGTTCATCCAAGGGAAGTATTTTAAGTTGTGCTTTTAAAACTTTGTTGTGTTTTCCATTTATCCTCTGGTCAGTGCCTCCCCACTATCCTGTGGTGTGCTGCCCCACTTCAGGTTCTCAGATGTGTAGTAAGCGGCCAGCCCGAGGGAGAGCCACACTTGGGAGCCAGCGAAAACGCCGGAAGTCAGTGACACCAGATCCCAAGGAAAAGCAGACATGTGGTAAGGAAATCCAAAGAACCTAGAGATGTAGACTTGAGGGAAAATGCAAAAACTCCTGGGATAATGGGCAGTGTTTGTTGTTCAGTGTAAGGCAATCTTTGATTGCTGTTGTCAGGTTGGGCAGTGGTATATAACAATTCTTTTTAGTTACTATTAAGTCAAAGGGATGCCAATATTACAGGATGAACCAAGTCAAAACAGAATTAAAATAAACTTCTGCACCTTTGTAATAAAATACTTGCTATAAACAAGATGCTGCTTGTGAGTGACTGAGCATATTCACTGTAGAGAAGCTCCAGCATTGAGACATGGGCTATAGGGACACGGTGAAGAACTTGCTCTGGGGAGGGATGGAGAAGCTGGGAGAAGAGAGTTTCTACTCTGCTGCTTGCTTTTTTAGCTTTGCATGTAAACAATCCTTACTGTAAACCATTCTCCTTAAATTTCTCCCAGACATCAGGCTTCGAGTTCGGGCGGAATACTGCCAGCATGAGACTGCTCTGCAAGGCAATGTCTTCTCCAATAAGCAGGACCCACTTGAGCGCCAGTTTGAGCGCTTTAACCAGGCCAACACTATCCTCAAGTCCCGGGACCTGGGCTCAATCATCTGTGACATCAAGTTCTCTGAGCTCACCTACCTCGACGCATTCTGGCGCGACTACATCAATGGCTCATTATTAGAGGCACTGAAAGGTGTCTTCATCACAGACTCTCTCAAGCAAGCTGTGGGCCATGAAGCCATCAAGCTGCTGGTGAACGTGGATGAGGAGGACTATGAGCTGGGCCGACAGAAACTCCTGAGGAACTTGATGCTGCAAGCATTGCCCTGACCTTTCCCCCTTCTCACCTCTCTGGGGATTGTTCGCTCCATCACCTCTGGAGCTTACATACTGTTCTGGGGTTTGTTCTCTACCCTTCAAAACCAATCACACCGCCTTTTTTTTTTTTTTTTTTTTTTAAAGGAAAAGACAAAGGAAAGTGGAAGTGGTGTTCCCTATCCCTCCCTGCACCCATGTGCCTGGGCTTCCCCTCTGTTTCCTGTTGCCACTTACCCCTAATGTGTGTCTCTACAGCCACCTTACCACTGAGCCGTAAGACAAGTGTATAGGGATGGAGTCTATGGAACATAGCCTTTGTAAGGGACTGAACATTGCTTTCAGGTGCATTGAGGGGTAATCAATACTTATGGCTTTATGAGGGCTCTTATGTCTGAAAAACCAAAGGGCTGTGAGTAAAGGAGCTATGTGGAAGGTGGGACTCTGAAGTGTATTTTGGAAATTAATTGCCACCTTCTTCCAAATTATAGAATTTTTTAAAAACAAAGAAGCTGTGGCCCTCTCCACTCTCTCCTGGCCTCTGGTGCTGCTCCTCTCTGCCTTTCCTTCATTCCACAGCTTGAAACTGCTGCCTGGTGTGGCTCCCCCCCTTTATCAGATCCTCCCCAACGTAGTTAAGATGATTGGGCCAGCCTCATAACTCCTCCCAGCTGTGATGTATGTGTGGATGGACAGAGGAGAGGCTGCTGATTAAAGTACAATTTCCTTGAAAAGGGGAAGGAGGGGGGAGTGGATGTGTCCCTTCTATTTCTAGTGAAAATAACAAACTTTTACCCTACCCCAAGTCCCTTTCCCCTTGCTTCCTTCTGGCTTGAGAGAGAGTATTCAGAATCAACTCCTTCTCCTACGGAGATTGGGGCTAGGACATGCACTGAGCCTTATTGCACTTTCTTAGGCAGGGAGGTATGTTTGAGCCAGGAGGCCTACAAGTGGAGCCTATCTGAGCAGGTACCATACCACCTCCCCTTCCAGTCCCCAAAGGAGATGCCCAGACAGACATTATGATTATTATATTTTTTTTCAATGCCAGTGCTGCTCAGCCCTCGGCATAACTTCAGTTTTCATGAAATAAACACTGACTATATAAAATTTTACTTTTCTGAAACTGAAATCTGAGGTCAGGTCAAAGTTTTTTCTTTCCCACGAACTTGAAACCTGTGTTCCATTAAGAGAGTTTAAGGTTCTGCAAGTGAAGGAACTGTGCTTGGGTCCTGCCTACAAGTCACAGTAGCATCACCTCACAATTGTGCATGTGTCTGTGTGTGTTTGTGCCTCTGTGTGTGTCTCAACTCCAGCAAAAGTTAAAAGGCTTAAGACAGTGGCTGACCCAGATTGCCATACAGGTCAGGTCTGCGATGCTGGAACACAGGCAGGTGTTGACGCATCTGTTGTAGAAAGTTGAGATCAATTCTGGCAAGGCAGAGGCCTGGTCCCTCAGAGCAGCAGGCCACCACTGTACCCCAGGGGTCCACCACCATGCTGTGCCCATAACTTGCTCTTGTCTCGTGGTGGCGTCCACACTGTGCTGCTGCTATCACATAGCACTGAGATTCAATGGCACGGGCCCGCAGCAACACCTGAGAATAAGTAGTGTTCGTTAAAGTATATGTAGCAATTATCAGGCAAGTGATAAGCAAAAGTGGGCTCTACAGGCCAATCTCCTCTGACCATTCTACTAGTCAACTAGAAGATGTGACTGCATTAACATGACTTACACCTGTCCGGGAGGAGTGAATTTCCCTACTAGATGGGAAGAACAGAGAAGAGTGAGGTTTGTTTGCTTTGATTTTTTTTATATTTTTTTATATTTTTTGTGAAGCCTCTGCTTCACAAGCGCTGGGATAAAAGGCGTGCACCAGCACCATCATGCCTCCCAGTGTTTTCTGCTTTGTTTTTTAAGGCAGAGTTTCTCTGTTGTAGTCCTGGTTGTCTTTGGAACTCACTCTGTAGACTGGTCTTGAACTCACAGGGATCCTCCTGCCTCTGCCTCTAGGTGTGTGCCACCGCTACCTGGTTTCTATTTTGGTTTTTGAGTCAAGGTATACTATGTAGACCATGTTGGCCTTGAACCTGTGGTAAACCTCTAAAGTGCTTGGAATTTAGCTTTGTGCCACCACTCAGTAAAATTAAAAGGAGTCCTTTTGTTTTGAAGAGGCATTCTCTTACCTCCCAGTGGGCAGGGCCTGTAACGGATCCAAAGGCTGAAGGATAAGTCAGTATTTCTGCCCCAGCTTGAGCCAATTTCAGAGAAAGTTCAGGGAACCGCATGTCATAGCAGATTGCTAGACCAACCTGAAATGAAAAACAACCCACTCATCATAACATCCAGTACTTTCATCATTCACCTCCCAAGGGGGGGTGTTACCACCTTTTCAGTGTATTCCTATTTCCTTTTCAAACTCCTACCTTGCCTGCTGGTGTGCTGATGGGTGGCTCAAGAGTGATTCCAGGCCTGGTGGAGTTGCTTTCCCGCATAGGCCCCTGCCCTGGGATCTCTACATCACATAGATGTGTCTTCCTATAACTGGCCACTACTAGTCCTAGAGTTAAGAGATACAGAAAAAATACTCAGAACAGACACTCTAGAAGCCCAGCTTAGTTCTTCTCCCAAAGAGTAATTTCTAAGCTAAGATCAGAAGTACAAAACCCAGTAAAGCCAAATAGTTGAGAAAATAATGCTGAAGGATCTGAGTTGAAGGTAGAAAAGCCTGGAAAGAGACAAGCTAAAATGTTATTAAGTCTCACCCTTGTTGTCCAGAAGCACATGACAATTGTAGATTTTCTGAGTCTGCTCCCAGTCTTGGCCACGCTCATGGAAACCACCCAAGGACAGCCAGATTCCACATTCCCTGGGGGGAGGGGACACTGACAACTCTATCAAGGCTCTATCCCCTCTATGTGGCAATCCAGGAACAGTGCCTAGTAATGAGTCTACTTCCCTCCCACCCTTGTACCTGGCAAGCTGGCTATATCGTCCCAAAAGGTCCCCATCCAGTGGCTCAGACAGTTGTAATGTCTCGGCAGGATTTCGTGCAATGAAGTCAAATGCCTCAGGCAGAAAAGCCAGGCAAGCACCCAGTCTGGCCGCCTCTAGAACCAGCCCAGCACATGCTTTAAAGTTCTCTTGCTTGTTTGGTGTTGATGTTACCTGGCACACAGCCACCAGGGGCAGCTCCCAGGAAGTTGATGAGGACTCCGCCATGGCTCTGGGCCTGTGAATGGTACAGGCAGTGTTCTCAGATTTGCTAGCATGGAGAAAGCCAGCAGCTAAAGTGGGATGGGGCCATAAACCTAGACTTTTTTCTTTTTTGAGACAGGGTATTTTGTAGCCCAGACGGGCCTTGTTATGTAGCTGAGGATGACCTTAAACTCCTGAATGATCCTCCTGCCTGCCTGCTTCACAAGTGCTGAGATTACAGGTGTGTCCCTCTATCCCTAGCGACTTCTTTCCATTCTTTCAGAGCATAATAACCCCAGAGCTACTGGTGTTCGCTTATTAAATGCTTGGTGGGTGGCAGACGCCTTTGTCTCCCCACCCTGCAGTTATAAACATGGATTGAACAGCAATGTGCCGGGCAGAGAACAAGAAAATATGTTACCTGGGCTGAGTACAAAGTACTGAGATTCGGGGTAATCGGTGTCCGGTACACAAAAGGGACAGGAGTTGGCGAGGAGGCCTGGTGATGAAGCCCAGCCTGAAGAAGATGAGAAATCAGGACACCTAACCTCCCTTCAAGCAGAAGTTTCTAGAATTCTCTGCCATTTCCAGGCCTGGCCAGTAATTCCCTCCCCCAGAGCTTCAAAAACACTCCTCCCCCCCCCCCCTATTAGCTTAGGAGATCGTGAAATGGGAAAACGGGGGAGGAGACTATGATCTGTGCCTCAATACCTCAACTTCCAGTGATCTCACTTAAAACTGAAGCCCCTTTCCTCTGCCAAAGACTTCTGCGGTTCAAGTCATCTCATGGAACCTTCCTCGTTTCCCCAATTCTCTCTTCTCGGCTGTGCCACCTGCACAGCTTTATAGGCTCAACACATTTCTTTCCCCTTACACCAGTATCTGGAGAGGAAAGTTCACTCTCCCTAGATCGCCACCATCTCGTGGTGGGTAGGGGCCACAGGACCAGATCCCAACTCTAGACACCACCCTCTGGTTAGCGCGTCCTTCCCCGCCTCTCCCTGGGGCAAGAATCTCTGTTGTAAAAGTTAAAGCATCGCAGGTGGAATTCACCGCAGCGGGCAGGGTTGGGGGGTAGGTCCTACATGAAGACACCGCCAAAACCATTCGCAGGGTCGATCTGAGGGGCCTCCTGGAGCCAGAAGCGCAGGGGCAAGTGGGAGGTAACTACCAGACCGGATGTGACGCAGTGGGAGCGCGCAGGCCGGAAAGCTTGCAGGTGGCGAAGATGGCGGACAGCAGCCGTGTGAGCAAGGCCAGCGGGAGCAGCACCGGGAAGGGGGCGGTGTCGGCCGAACAGGTGAGAATCCGCGAGCGCCGAGGGCAGCTGGGTCGGTGTCGAGTTCGTGCAGGAAATAGGGTTTGTGTCTTGCACCGGCCTGCAGCCCCTTCCACGTTCTCCTGGTCACACACAGGAGGGAGGTGCTTGGAGGTGATCGCGAACCCTCCTAGGGCATGGGTAGGTAGGGGGCTATGTAGAGGAGAGCCACGCCCGCGGGGTTGGAGGGTGAGTCGAATGAGAAAGCCCTGAGGTGCGGGGTCTGGGAGGGTGTTCAGGTCCCCAAGGGGATGGGTCGCCGTTTTTTCCATCTCCGAGGAACTATAAAACAGGTAACAAATCCCAGAGGGTTCAATGAATTGTTTAGTCTGTGACTCTAAAACCGCGTTCACCATCGCCCACTCTGCAGAGCCACGTGTTTGGTTGGTTTGGTTTATTTATTTGTTTTTTGGACTTGGTGTTGGGAGGTGGAGGTTGCAACAGCGTCGCTCTGTGTAGTCTTGGCTTTTCTGAAATTCACTGTATAGACCTGGCTGGCCTGAAATTCAGAGATCCGCTTGTCCCTCCCTGCCTCTGCCTCTCAATTTCTGGGCTTAAAGGCGCCACTAAACCGGGCCAGGATTGTTTTTTTGTTTTTTTGTTTTTTTTTTTTTTTTGAGACATGGTCTCACTAAGTAGCTCAGGCTGGCCTGGAACTCGCTACTTAGTGTGTTCTCGGAGTGTAGATGGACTTTTCAGAAGAGACCAGAAACCCTTTTCTAATCCAGATTTGCCTCTCCTGCTATACATTAAATCAGGATACATCTGACTAATCAGAAAGCCCTTTGTGGTATGGGGACCATGCCTTGTTAATCGTGGAACTAATGTTTAATCGATATTAAAAGAAAAAAAAAAACCACACACAATTGAAATGAAAAGAATTGAGGCTAAGGGTGTAGCTTAGTGGGCTAAATGGGAAAGCCCTGAAGTGTAGGATATGGGAAGGGTTTAGGTCTCTGAGTTGGAGACTCAGGGGTTGGGAAATGTGTGTGTTGAACAATTATCTTATTATTTTGGCGGGGAGGGGGTTCGAGACAGGGTCTCTGTGGCTTTGGAGACTGTCTTGGAACTAGCTCTTGTAGACCTGGCTGGTCTCGAACTCACAGAGACCCTCCTGCCTCTGCCTTCTAAGTGCTGGGATTAAAGGCATGCGCCACCACTGCCTGGCTGAAGTTATTTTAATCATAGATACATTTGTCAGTTAATTGTTAAACAATCAGTACAGGCAGGGAAAAGTATTCAAATAAAGAGTTTAAAGCCTGCCCTATCAAAGAGCATAATATGTTGAGACCAAAAAAGCAGGAAGGGAGTTCATAAATCTACTGTGAGGCAGAAAGTGTTCTAAGAGAAGTAAAATGCAATGAAAGTTTGAAGTGACCTCCAACATAGTGGAAAAAACAACAACAAAAACTTAACACTTTTTTAAGGGTCTGTCTTGTGTTAGGCTCTGCTGAACACCGAGAAATGGGTGAATGGAACAGACCTTATCATCAATTTGGTCAAAGATTCCCTTTCTAGAGAAAAAAGACAAGGCTGGGCTTTGGTGGCACACACCTTTAATCCTAGCACTCTGGAGGCAGAGGCAGGCAGATCTCTGTGAGTTCGGAGCCAGCCTGGTTTACAGAGTGAGTTCCTCGACAGGCTCTAAAGCAATACAGAGAAATCCTGTCTAAGGTGGGGGAGGATTTATTTATTATTATGTATACAGTGGTCTGCATCCATGTATCCCTGCAGGCCAGAAGTGGGCACCAGATCTCATTATAGATGATTATGAGCCACCATGTGGTTGCTGTGAATTGAACTCAGGTCCTCTGGAAGAGCAGCCAGTACTCTTTAATTGCTGAGCCATTGCTCCAGCCCCAGAAAACCCTGTCTTGAAAACAAACAAACACAAAAAACAAGATAGCCAAGTATGATGGCTCATACCTGTAATCCTGCTGGATTACCATGTCCTAACAGGCTAGCCGGGGTTACAAAGTGAAACAGACTCAAAAACAAACAAGACAGAAAGGCAAATAAAACAAGGAGAGTTTAAAAAATTATTTTATGGGCCTGGTGATGGTGGTGTACACCTTTGATCTTAGCACTTGGGAGGCAGAGGCAGGAGGATCTCTGGTCTACAGAGCTATTTTGGTTTCAGGACAATCATGGCTATACAGAGAAATCCTGTTTTGAAGAAACCAACCAAACAAATAAATGATAGTAAAGGACTCGAGAGGCTTTTGCAGAGGCCCAAGTTTGGTTCCCAGCACCCATGTTGGTTGTCTCACAATTTTCCATCACCTTGGCTCAAGGGATTTCAGTACCCCATTCTGACCTCCAAGGCAAGTCCACTTGAATGCACATGCTCTCACACAGATACACAGACATGCACATAATCTAAACAAGTTTTTTGTTTGTTTTTGTAGTTTTGTTTCAAGACAGGATTTCTTTGTGTAGCCCTGGCTGTCCTGAACTCGCTCTGTAAACCAGGCTGGCCTCAAATTCACAAGAGATCTGCCTGCTTCTTCCTCCTGAGTGCTGGGACTAAAAGTGTGCACCATCACTGCCTGGCCTAAACAATTTTTATAAATGCTAATTTGATTATTATCTAGGGGATAAAATTCTTCAGCTTAATTATAAAGGATGAGAAAAGTTGGTCAAGTGAAGAGATTCTAGTTAGAAGTAATGTTTGAAAGCACTGAGACATGAACTGCATGGCATTGGGAATGCTAGTGGACTTAAAAGATGTATTACAAGATTTAAAGAGGGCTATAGGGTTTCTGTCTCTGGTGGATAATGGTACTGTAGGCGTGAAAAAAACTGGAAAGGGGATGTTATTCAAGGGTGATAGAGAAAAGTCCCCAGAGGAGATTGAAGAAATGTGCAGGCCAAAGGACATTCCTTGTGTACTGTCAACTTTGTCACCTTTGTTGTTTGAGACAGGTTCATTTAGCCTAGAACTCCCCAAATTAGCTAGGATGGCAAGCCAGAAAGCCCCTACATCCTCCCTTCCCCCAGCACTGGGGTAACAAATGCACCTCGAAATTTAAATTCACTAACATTCCATTGCCTGCCATGCTGTTGATGCCTGTATGCCTTTTTTACTGTGGGATGTTTTCCCCAGCCCAATTAAAGTGCTATCACTGTTGTAAATTCAAGCCAAATGTGTCTTTTATAAGGAAGATAGGAGTGGGTAATATATTGTATGAGTCACTTGTTTTATTTTCTGTTATTTATTCTTTATTAGGGTTTTGTTTTGTTTGTTTGAGATAGGCTCTCCCATTCTCTCCCTATTCAACCCTGGCTAACTTGCTGTGTAGACTATGCTGGTCTAAGACTTGTGGCATGTTTCCTGTTTCTACCTCCCAGGTGGAAACAGCACCAAAGTACTAGGAGTCAGTCTCTCTGTCTCCCTCTCTCTCTCTCTGTGTGTGTGTGTGTGTGTGTGTGTGTGTGTGTGTGTGTGTGTGTGTGTATGCTTTCCTGGAGCCAGCCTCCTCAGTAGGCCAGGTTTTTCATCAGGACCCCAAATAACCACACAGAGACTTAATATTAATTATAAATGTTCAGCCAATAGCTTAGGCTTGTTACAAACTTTAACTCTTACAACATTAATTAACCCATATTTCTATCTATGTCCTACTGTCCTATGTACCTTATCTCAGTATGGCATATTCATCTCTTGTTCCTCTTCGTCTCCTTAAGACCCCTCAGAGTCCACCTTTCTCTCTACCTTTAAAATCCTGCCTAGCTATCAACCAATAAACTTTTTATTAACAATAAGAGCAACACATTTTCACAGTGTATAGTAGGATTATTCCACAGCAGGCTTCCATATGCACTCACAAACATGGCCATCACTACACAGGTGTGCCTACACACACACACACACACACACACACACACACACACACACACACAGAGAGAATGGAAAAATAAGCAAAGAGTTTTGTCACGTGGCCAGCAAGCTGATTCAGGGTAAAGGCATGATGACCTGTTTCATTCCCACGACCCATATAAAGGCAGAAGGAGAGAGCCAGCTCCTGACCTCTACATGTATGTCATCCCACACACACTTACACATATACGCTTTGTACACACACGTAGTAGTAATAATAATAATAATAAACTAAAAAAATTAAAAAGCCTTGCCACAAAGTAGGTTGTGATACACGTACCTGTAGTTCCTGTAATTGGAGAAGATGTAGAAGCAAGAGGATTAGGAGTTAAAGTTCGTCCTCAACTCAAAGCAAATTTGAGGTCATAGTGGGTTACTTAAGATTCTGTATCAAAAAGATAAGGAAATCCCTATCACTTGGCGGTCAAAGTTCAATGTGTGTTTTTGAGAGGACAAACCCTACTCAAGCATAGCTTTATACCCCTTGGTCCCAAAACTCATGCCTTACAGTGCAAAATATGATTATTCTGCCCCAGTAGTCCCCAGAGTCTAAATTTGTTACAGTACTAAAGATTCCAGGGTCATTTGTGCAGTGAAAAGCATCTCGTCTCCTTCCAGCATGTAATGCAGAGGCAGGCAAAGGGTAGACTTTCCCATTCCGAGAAAGAAGTAAGCCAGAAAGGGAGCGAGGGGTAACAAGCCTTAAGTCTTATTCCAAAAGGTCAGGCATTGTCTTACAATTCTATAATAATTTTTCTTCATGTACCATTTTGGAAACCCTGAGGCAGGGATTGGGTCTTTAAAATGCTGGGCAGCTCTACATCTATGGGTTTGCTGGGCTCAGAACATGCTTCATGCTCTTGGGTTAGAGGTGCATTTAGATGCCTACAGCTTTCCTAGACAGACAGTGTACATTGATGATTGCTATACTATTAGGGAGCTAGTAGCTGCCTGGCCTTCCAAGTGCTGGGACTGAAGGCATCCACCAGCATTACCATCTCTGGCTTTGTTTGTCTGTTTGTTTTAAAGAAGCAGATTGAGCCTTGAGAAAAAAACAGTTGGATTATGCAGTTACAAAGAAGGCTATTTAAGATAGTTTGGT